AGATGTTTGAATTCTGAATATGAGCGACTTTTCCTTTAAAGTCTAAAACCTAGAGAATCATTGGATAGCAACTACAATGCACCACTTTAACCACACCTGGTCTTTATTATGAGGTTATGAATCTCCTTTTTTGCCCATTAAATCTTAATTTGTTATTATAACGTTATGTGTGCTGTAGTACAGCATTACATTTCTCCCCTGCATTTACAGTAACTCCCAGTCAATACTATAGAGTTATGCAGTATTTTATTCCATCAGCCTCTATGGATATTATGAAGAACCAGGACTCTGTTTTTATGTTAACTGCCATTAGATGTTCTGGCTCCCCTCACTATTAACAGCAGGACAAAAGATGAGGGAGTTATTATATACAATATGTGCCTAAAGCACCCTGGCAGTGTGTAGTCACTCAGGCGCTCGTTCACACTGCAGGCATTAATGCTCAATTCTCATTTCAATCTGATCTGGTTGTTTAACATATCCAAATATATGTGATTGTATGTGATCTCCTTTGTGAACTTTGTCACTATCTAATCCGTACCGGAAGAACGATCCGTACCATCCGCTCATCTGCACAACCAGATATACATCGAGCTCGCCCTTGATGTTACTTAGTAAAAAATTTATATATACACAGCCTAAAGTTATATATTATATCATATATTCTTTTCATATTAAAGTGTTGCTCTGTGCTTTGTTTTCTAGGCAGTAAAGCTAAAAGTAAACAACACAGGAAGCGACTGATCATCCAGTTACCTGCTAATGGAGGACAAGACTGTCCTGAAATCTTGACCCAAGAAAGAGAATGTGAATCAATGTCTCTTTGTCAAGGATACAGGTATATTCTGCAACAGACATAAAGTATTCAACCCCTTGAGCTTTTTGGCCTTTTGCCTCATTTCCCATTTCAAACATAAAGATAGAAAGTTGTATTTTTTTTTTGTGTGTGAAGAATCAACAACCAGTGGGACACAATCATCAAGTGGAACCAAATTTATTGGATATTTTAAACTTTTTAACAGATTAAAAACTGAAGAGTTGGGTGTGCAAAAGTAATGGTCTTCTTTAGTTTCAGTGCATTAAACTCTCTGAATGATCAATGTTGACCTAAATGACTGATGATGATCAGTAGAATCCACCATCTGCATAAATGCTGCTGCTCTGTGATCGTCTCAGAGGTCTGTTTAAGGCGCGGAGAGCATCATGAAGAATAAGGAACACACCAGGCAGGTCCCAAATGCTGTAGAGGAGAAGTTTAAAGCCAGATTCGGATAGAAAAAGATTTCCCAGCTTTAAACATTCAAAGGAAAACTGAGCAG